CAGTGGCCAAGTGGGGGTTGGGTGGCCAAGCAGTGGCTCAGTGGCCAAGTGGGGGCTCGGTGGCCCAGCAGGGGCAGAGGCTGTCCCCAACCCCGTGTCCCAAGGCAGTGCCACCTGCCCGCGTCGAGCCCGCTGCGCTTAAAGCACGCGGACGGAAAAGCAAACTCCCCCTTGGGGCCAGAGCTCTGCCCAAGCTGCTGCGGGCGAGGGTCCTGCTGCGGCTCCTGCTCCGTCTCTGTCCCCGTCCCGCGCTGCGGCAGCACCTCGCGCTCGACGGGGGCAGCCTGCGCCGCAGGGCCGAGGCTCAGCAGCAGGACGCAGCGGTTGGAAACGCGGAGCGGGGCTCAAAAACCCGCCTGTGCCCCCGTGCCCCGAGCCCGCTCCAAGGGCGGCAGCTCAGGAGCCACCCACGGTACCGACGCTCCGAGGACAGACCCGGCCCAAAGCACCCAACAACCTCTCGTCCTTCGAAAGGCGCCCGAGCCAGGGTGGTTGTTAAGGGTGGTCAAAACACCTCCTCCTCCTTGCGCATCCCCTTCACGAAGGGCCGGAGAGGCTTCTCCGCGCAACGATCCCGAAGGACCGCGCGCGCCCAGCCCGAGCGGCGCTGCTGCTGCTGAGAAATCCCTTCGTCCATTAAAGGTATTACAGGGACCCGAGCAGCGCGAAACGCGCCTTTGTGCGAAAGCCTGCTTTTTACCTTAAGCCTTTTGAAGTTTAAGCCAAAAGGGTTTAACGAGCAGCTCTACCATTTGAGCTTTTTTGGCCCTAATTGTAAGGCACTCGGAGGCCGAGGGAAAATCCCGGCTGTCGCAGGCGGCCCGAGTGACTAACGTGCAATTAAACCTCCCGGGCCCCGCGCGAGGCAGCCCAGCCGCCTCCGAGCCGGCGGCCCTGCTGCATCGCCCTCGCTCCTGGCCTCGGGCACGGGGGTTCATCTGCTCCCCCGTCGTCGCCTGCGGGGTCAGGACCAATTCTGTCCCTGTGGAGGGACAGCAGCCGGAGCCGGACGCCGTTCTCACCGGGGACAGGCAGGACTTCACGGCCCTCTCCACCTTTCTCCACCTCGGGACCTTGCGTGCGAGCGTCCCCGCTGCGCGCGCGGGCTTCAGCTCTGCCTCTGTGAATGGATTCCTCCTCATTCGCCTACGACGAGCAACTAAATGAGCAAATCGTGCCCATGGCTAAGCATCCCCAGGGAAAATGCCGCTGAAGCGGCGTTCCGGTGAAAGGGCCAGAGCTGCTTTTGGGGAATATCTTGCACGCTATTTGTAGTACAAAAAAACCTATTAAGAGAACTAGAAACGCACTTCCCCTGCAAACCAAGCCGCGCCTAAGGGCAGGAGTTAAACCCTTCCCCCTTCTCTGCCGCGAGGCCGGGTTCCTTTCCAAAGGACCTGCACCAGCCCGAGCAGGCGGCGTCCGAGGTGCACGAGCTTCAGCCATGAAAATTCCAGATATTGCATCCTTCAACGACACCCTAACCCCCTCTCTAGGGTGAGGGGAATCTACGCAGGGCGTTGCTGTACCCAACGGGAGGCTCCCCGATACAGCACCAGGGTATTTTCAAGAAAGGCGAGAGGTCAGATGTAATTCGTTTTTCACCATAATAATGGTAATAATAATAAAAATAATATAACTTAAGTTGGTAGAAGTCAAACTTGCTGTGCCAGGAACAGGTCACAATCCACACATCTCTAGTGCTGCTGCTTAAAACAGGGTCCCTCGCGCTCCGTGTCTCAGAAACGTCATCCCCGACAACGCTCCCGCGAGCTCCGGCCAGGCGCAGGGCTTGCGTCGCGATCCGCCCTTCCCTAAGCGAAGAGAGAAAACTGCCTCGGCAGCTGAAGACAGGAGACAGGTTTTTGAAAAAAAAATTATTTTATTGGAACTCATCTGAACATCAGATATACCTGGTGTTGGTTAGCAAGAACCGTTTGTACATTTGATATTGATGGTGCCAAAAACCCAAACAGTGACTGACTGGATGAGATGGAAATTTCAAAAAAAGAAAAGGAAAGAAAATGTCGGAGAGGTTAAAATGTGAACAGAAAGCAGAAAAGTCAGCCAGTCCAAGATTCAGTGTGAAGGCAAAATATTTCCTGATAAAACAGAATCCTTTTACAAAATATAAATTTTGTAAGAAAAACGTGGCGAGGGAGAGAGAGAGAGAGACAGAGGGGAAAGGAAAAATAAAGATTAGCAGGACAGAGATGCAGAAGCTTACACTGCCCAAATGGCATTAAAACCTAGCCAGGAACCTCACCGTAAAACGAGAGGGGCTGGGATACGCCGTGCTCCACCCCCCGCGTCCATGACTTCGGAAGGGCGACGCGGCCGCTCCCCAGCGAGTGCTGCACTAGGTTATTCCAGAAGGGCCAAGCTGTCTCACCTCGGATGTGGGGAAAAAGAAAAAAAAACAACCAAAACCAACAACAACAACAAAAAAAAGCAAGACTACAGCAGCAGAGGTAAATAACGAGAGTCTGGGCAGCGGCTCGCCTCCCCGCCGGAGGGGGTCTGGCTCCCGCAGGGAGGCGAGGACTCGGGGAACGCCTGCTCCCCTGTTCTTCCTACCAGTGCAGGTGGGGGGAAGGGATAAAACATTTAAAATCTAGTCTATTTTAAAACAATAGCATGCAATACAGGCCTCCAGGGGAAACCTGCGCTGTTCCCTTTATCAGAAACTGGCCTAACGGTCTGGACAGCGGCTGCAGCCGCCTCGAGGAGTTCGGCTGCGCAGGGTGGGTCTGGGCTGGCGCAGCGCAATGACAATTCTGAAGCAGGTTCCTCGGGCGCGAAAGCCTTCAGGAAAATCATTGTCGAGCTGCTTTCGAGGGGATCTGAGGCCTTTCCGATTTAAAAATAAACCAGCAGTCTGTACGTTTGGGGTTTTTTTGGTTCAGTACAAATGGAATAAACTTGGCTGCTTATACACTGTCAGCAAGTCTCAGATTTCAGAGCAGAGGGAGAGATGAAACAAACTCGTTTTGGGCACCTATCGGTAACAAAACTTTGTCCCTGCTTAACTCTCTGCCATCCCTCAGGAAGTGGAAAGCACATGGTTAGGTAGTGTAAGCCTTTTTCCTTTTATTTAGAATACCCTCTTTGTTTAAACAATATTCCCCCCCCAGATACAAAGTTCGGCCAGTAAAGGTTACATGGAAACTGGAACACGCATCGTATGGAATACAAGATGCACCGGATGAGGAAGTTTAAAAACTTTCCGAGCGAAAAGTAGAACAAAGAAAAAAAAGTCTCCTAACATTTTCCCAGAGGTTTCACTCTCCTGTCACACACACTCTCCAAATGACAGCTAGCAAATTCAACTCTGCGAAAAGAAAACAGAGCCACGTCAATCGAGAGGGGAGAAAACAAGCGTCGAGGACACAAACGGCACGGTGGCCCGGGAGGAGCGACAGGTCCGGCTCCGGCCCCCACTCACCTATGTTAGCTTCTTGGCTTTGTTGTAGAGCGAATCCACTACTTTACTCATATTCTGAATCGTCTCGAGGGCGGCTTCGTAAGTTTTGTCTACGGGGGGTTCGTCGAAGATGATCAGGACTCCCTCGCCTTGGTCAAGGATGCCTGCGGACACAAAGCTGTGGTTACGCTTGACAGATGCCATCTTCCAGACAGCGGGGATTTAGGGATCCACCTAGAAAACGGGCGGTCGGCTGCGCTGGGTTTGGAAGGGGCTCGTGTGTTGGACTGGACGGGCTGACTGGTTTTTGTCTGGACTGCATTAGCAGGAGCTTAGCCAGAAAAAAAATCCTCCTGGAGAGGGGCCGGAGAAGAGCTCCAGGAGATGCTTATGCCTGCACGTTCCCCAACCGCCGCCTTCCTCGCCCAGGGCCCTGCGCCCAGCGAGATGGCTCAGCGCAGCACTGGAGCAAGGCAAGAAAAAAGCCATTTTATAATTAAACGATTTCCAGGTGCCAGATGGGCACAGCAGCTGGGTTCTGTAATTTCCGAGCTATTCTCTAACCAACATGCTTCCTTCAGC